CTTGTAAGTTGTTTTGGATATTTTAATCATAAGAAAAAAAAACTAGAAACAAGTTCAAACTGTGTAAATGCATCTCTTCCCCATTTAAAAAAAAGGAAATATACTAAAATTACTTTTCTGAGTCCCATGTATGCTCACATGACTTTTGAGGCAGGAAGTTGCATTCACTAAATGTTTTACCTGAAGAAGAAAATCAAAGAGCGCCATCTTGGACCACTCATGATGATGAATTTCAGTACAGCCCCACTCAGCTTTGGGAACTTTACCATTCTGCCAGCATTTCTGCTTCAATAGCTGCTGATACTGCCCCCAGGTTAATCTCACTGAAGAATGGGTACTATTATCTGTTGGGCTCAGTGAGGAATCCCAGAGAATAACAGGACAAACTTGGCCATCTGAAAAAGGAAAAAAGATCACTGGTATAGGGTGGTACTGTCAGACTTACTTGATCATTCTTTAGACATTGCCTAAGCATCAATAATTATACCATTTTACAGATGTGGCAGGAAAAATACCCAGAGACTAATAATTTGACATCCTTTGGTTAATGTGGTCTTATTCCACATCTAAAACCAGCCACTGCAGGAAGAAGCATAGACATTATAAATGCCTTGAGTGTACAGAAGGCTTTCTCTGTTTGAAGCAAGAGATTAATATACAAAATCATATATAAAACCAAGCTATTAAAAAATTTATAGGTAGATTAAAAGCCTACAATACCACTGTGAATCAACAATGTAATTTCCCTCTGATACCAGTGAACTGATGATGAATTACAAGAGCTGAAAATTTATGTCAAAGTATTTTTTGTGCATAATGGGCATAGAAATATAACAAATCCAATACTCAAAGTGGATTTATTTTATCTTTAGTATTTTAGACCTATAATGTATGATTTCACAGCTCTGAAATGATATATGAGAATACTAGAATGTGAACTTAGTGTGGATAAACACCTTTTTTAACCAGATATAACATGAGATCTGTTTGTATAGCAGCTCTTTTGGCAAAGTTCTTTAATTCTTCTGTGTAAAGAATATTCTGCTTTTTCCTGAAACTAAGTCAAGGGCCTTAGCTTTGGTGAATTCAAGTGTTCAGAGTTCTTAGTGGGAAGAAACCTCAGCAAATAATTTAAAATGAGCTTTCCCAGTATAAGAACTGATAAATGTATTTCACCCAATGTCAGGTAACAGGCATATCTATTTTCTTAGGAAAGTGGAACTCTCCTTTTCATTGCTGATAGAAAGCTGCTTCTGCCTTAAACTGTCAAGGACCCAGGACTGACTGTAGCTTGTACACACATGAAAACAAATGAATCCTTTATATTCTTGGGTGTAGACAGAAGACCAAAATATGATGCCTTGGTACAGAGGGGAGGAACCATTTAACTGCAAAGCTGCTATTTGCTAAATAGCAAGCATTGGAACACATATAAATCTTTAAAATGTATTTATATTCATCTTGAAGGTCAGTGAACATAAAATCCACTCTATTGCACAATGTATCACATAATTATATGCAGCTTAAACTGTCTCTTCCACATGTCCATGGAGCCAGAGATGCATCTGAAAAGAAGCGTTCAGAAACTCGCATGAAGGTAACAAGATCCACAGCACCTTCTCCAGAGGCAACAGTGACAGAGAATAGCACATAGAAAACAGGTATTGGTGCCAGCAGCACAGTAAAAGATGCTGATGTGAATGCTCCATCTGTAAGCAACAAGAACTGTTAAAAACATCTCCATACAGCTGAATCAAAAAGCAACTTGTTCAGAGGATGGTGACTGTTTTAAGACAGGTAAGAAATTATCTTTGCCCATACTTAGCAGTGATTCATGTGTGAAGATCCATCTTGTATTTGCTAAGAGAGCATGATAGGCTCTACACACAATCAAGCCCAAAAGAAAAAACAAACTCCTATCCAAAATCAGAATGTACTTGATCTTCTCTCTGCCATGGCTTGCACATACAAGGTAGGCCTTCTCAAGCCAACCCAATCCAATGTGCAGCTCTACCACCTCTTTAACTTCCCTCCCAGTTGCCCAATGTTTCCTTAGGAACACAAAGTGTCCTTCCGTTAGGAACGTCAATCTCTCGGATCAGTACTACCTTTATCAGCACTGTGTCCCACACTTTCCTCTGCTGAAAAAAAGTGTTGAGCACTCCTGAAAATCAGGCTTCTCATCTACTGTGGTGCCTGAAAAAGTACTTAGTAATTTGGGAGATCTTAGCCACTTCCCCATCTCTCTTGCTCTGGTTCCATCGCCTATACTGTAGATGACTTTAGCCAAGTCAGATCAATTATTGGCTAAGCTTCTTTTCCAAGCCAGTTGTAGAAAGTCTATATAAGCATTGGGAATTATCACAAAAAAGGACAGCTTTCTTCAGGACCAAGTCTGATCCATAATTTTCATATCTCCAATAACATCTTATGTAACTATTCATGAATTCTTCCACAAACCAAATACACAAACAGTCTTCTAAGAAAACAAACATCTCCTGTCTACCCAAAAGGGACATGATAAACAATAGCAATATAAATACTTGGAAAATATTAATAATATCTTGCCAGTTTCCATTAAGACACAAAAACACTTTTTAAAGACCAAGGCTAAATACAGGAAATGTTTGCATTTCAGAGGAAATGGGAGCAGAAAAGATGAGCCAAAATAAAATCTTAACTATAATATGAATTGAATTACAGGAATATGAAACAGCAGCTTCAGTAAGCAGCAGTGACTCAAAGTTTTGACACTCGTCGGAAAAACATGAAGATGCTGAATTAAAGCAGATAAGGGGTGTGATTTGTAGCTGCATGAATTGGCATGATCTCATTGAAATCAGTGGAGCCCTTCTGATTTCAAGCCTTGTGAGGATGGGGCTGAAGTTAACTGAACAGTGAAAAGTAAGGCCTGGCTAAGAATTAGAGCTTCCAGTTTGATACAGCCAAAACTGAGAAGACTGAGCACACTTCAGAATAAGTCCAGTGTGTTCTGCATTCACTTCTTTCCTGATAAATGTTATATTTAAACACAGAAGGCTACTGCTTTTCTGTTGTTGCAGCTGCATTGCACGGAATTTTGCCCAAAGCTGATCGACTTCATTTCTTCTCATCTGCCATTTTAGATTGATACATCTACCTGACTACCTAAAGATGATCTGCAAAATTGTATGGGAAACACTTTTCAAAACTTGTGTTGGAACCAGCTTCCTAGTAATTCATACAGATTTTTAAACATCAAAATATTTCTAAAAATTTCTTAGGCCCTTAGGAGCTACTGGCTCAGGATATTTGAAGTTGAATAAGCTAACACAGCTGAAACCTCAGGCTTCTGAGGCTTGACTACCTCAAGCTACTCAAATTGCTCCATGTGCTGCTAGATAATGTAACATTGCATGGCATCATCTTAGATATCCACACACCACACTGCTTTGAAAGTAGTCTGTATGCTTAACCACAAAGATGCTCTTGCAAATGTTACTCTTCCATTGTGCTCTAATTTGTATCTACAGCAATTTTTCTAACTTCCTTGAAAGAAAATATTTTCAAGTGTGCCCATGAGAGCATCATTAAAAAGAGCAAATCTTTAATGAGGTACTTAAAACCCTTTCTCAGACTCCTTGTTATTCACTGTTAAGCTGTTTAGCTTAACACTGCTACATCTGAAAGAAACAGTTTAGTTGCCTGCATATTAGCAGGAAGGTAATTTAGTGTGGAAAGATGAGAGGGACTGACACACAGACCATTCCTTGAATCTGATTTTAAGTTCTGATGAAAATACAAGGGACGAAAGCAGAGAGAAGTTAGGCCTTTTCCTTTCTGCCCCTTCTTGCACCTGATTTGCGATGTTTCTGTCCTGCACTCATATGGATGTCAGAATTAAGGAATGTATGAAATGTGCATCAGTTGCTTTCCAGACTATGGAATGCATTATTGCTTATTATTAACTTCTTTACCCAACAAAATATTGGAAATGGGTCCTCTCGTACCCCTCTGAGAGGTACAACACTGGTGTAAGTTGTTTTCTCTCTATTAACCCAAACAAGACAGATAAAATGAAGCCCTTTAGAGCATTCTGAATGCATAAGGCAGTGCTAGGGTTTTTTTATTCTTTGCCCTGACATTAGTGACTCATAATATCTTTGCCTGCTTTTGCATAACTTTTGGTGGGATGGCGAGGGCAGGCTGATAGCGCAGGGTATAACATGGAAAAACCTATGACTCCATTTATCATCATGTAGAGGCCAGTAAAGCAAAATGACAAGTATAACCAGTGGAGCTATCTATCACACATCATCCATCTATTTGCACTAAACCGACTGTGAAAGGTGTTATTCAAAGGAAGAGTTTCTTGCATGTTTGGGGGGGGAAAAAAGTGGTTCTTGACAAATAGTAGGTTCAATCTTTAGCTAAAAAAAGCCCAAGTGAATTGAGTACACCTGTGCTTGTTCTCAGCATAGGATAAAACATTTAGCTGAGCTTATGATATTGGAAAGCCAGGGGGAAAAAAAGAGGTGGTTGTCAGCATGCAGTAGTTCAGGCCCTCAGCCAGTGGCACAACAGAACTGCGTAGCAATAGCTGTGTATTTTGTACCAAAAGCTGAGTAAAGAGCTCAGCCTTGTTGCTACGATGAAAGGAGCCAGAGTCCCATTCTTACAGCTGTCAGCTGCAACACAGGAGCAAGCCTGCTCCAGCCCATGCTACCCCAGTGGTAGTTCAAGCCCTGACAAACACTGGCATCGTCCTACCCTGCAAATGCTGTTGCTGAGCTAGAGGCTATATGTGCAGTCATTTTACTTGGCAAATTTTACTTGTACAAATTAACTAAGGTAGGGCTGTGACACCAAGCAAGGTGACTTATGTCTCTCTTCTTCCTCAGGGTGATCAAATAATGAAGATTGTCTGTCCTGTGGTATTACTGTGACCATCCTAAAACTGACACACAAGGGTCAGCCTCCATTTTCTCCACAATAGCCACAGTTTTATGATGATTTCTTGTTGTTTTACAGGCTTATCCTTCTTTGTTTATAGGTGTTTTGGAGCTCTCGGCATTTTTCACGCCTTGTAGGTAGCAATGGAGGTAATGAGTAAGTGCTTGCGTATGCCCAGAATTGTGCTCTTTTAGTCTGTAACACTGAACTCAAAAGGGCTTTGCTCACCTGTACTCCCCAGGCTTTTTACATTCAGCCAATTCATTGCAAAAATAAAACCTGATTTTTCCATCCATGACAGAAAAATAAGATAAACACTAAATAAATTCACAGTTAACCCTTAAAAGGGTTTACAATTAACTGGGGAAGCTAAGGGCAGCAGACAGAGGATTTGTGTACAATATTTTTCTAGCCTTTAAAAAAAGTCATCAGTGGGGGATTTCTGGGAACAGGGGAAACAGAAACTGTGCAGGGATTTACTGAGCAGTTCTTTGAAACTGCTTTTGACAACATGAATGACAGTTTTGAAAAGCCCATTTTTTAAGATTTTAATGCTACATCAAACATGTCTTGTTACATCAGATCACAAGTGAGGCAAGCTAAAGGGATGTGTTGTGGAGAGAGATATGTCAGGCCAGAAACTGCACATTTATACATGCACGCTCTCCAATGCTGCGTTGCTTGCTTTCCCAGATGAATAACCATGATTCACACAAGCCGCGCTGTAAAAAACTTTACAGTGCCTACCTAACCTTAACTTCAACGTGTAGCGGTAGTAGAAATGAGCTCACTAATTGCTCATATTATTTTTAAGAATGTATTTTTGCTCATCTTCTCAACACAGATGTTATCCAGATTATGCCAAACACAAGCATGTAAACAGTAATGAGCCCAAGTAGATATTAGGCATCTGAGCTCCAGCATATTTTCAGGCTAAAGAAATGGAGAGGCAAGGTACAGTAACTGTTCCAAATGCTCTGTTCACCCTTTAGCTGGAAAAAATGAAGTGGGACCAAAATAATGTTATTTCTCTTCTCATCACCTAGCAACGCTATTCTTGCTATAGGAACATAGCCAGTTATGAGGAAAAGAAAATTAAAGAGGGCAGAACGACTCACTGTCCCAGACAGTCCAAAGCCTACTGTAAGGTCGCAGCCACTGAGCAACACAAGGCACAATTAGCCTAAGAGCAGTTTTCAGAGGCTTGCAGTCTGTCATCTCTGCAGCCACGCTGTGCAGAGTTCCTCCAACCGAACTACCTTAATGCCTTATGACAGCTCTATAGCAATAAATGTTATTCCTAAAAATAAACTAGGCATAATGTATCTTCCATGCTTTGCAAGTATGAATAATATTCAGAAGCCTCCAAAGTGTTGTTTCTAGAGATTCATTCACATTGTTGTACAGGCTGCCAAAAGGAAGGTTTATAAAGCAGGAAGAAATCAGATTGCTGGGTCCTCTTCCTGCTGTCAGACTTGAGAAAGTAATTCTTGCATTACTTTATTTTTTTTAAGAAATGCCAACTGATATAAAAATATTTTGTATAAGCTAATTTCAGCAGCAAGAAAGGAACAGCAAAAACATAGCTAACCACTTTAGCAATGATTCATTAAATGCAATGTAGCTCTTTTGGACTGTGATTTGTGACTGTACAAAAATAGCAGTTAGGTTGAAGACATACTTAACAAGATAGCAATGTTAGAAGTAGACTTCTAACTCACATTACATGTCTGAAATCTAGCTTTAATTTCACTAAAGACTAAAAATCAGAATTGTAATTGAAAACTTTATACCAACCATGTAACAGGCATATTGAGGTATTTACTGTGCATATTTCTTTGTTGGAATAATATATGGATGTGTGTAATGAACCTCAAAATGTACAGCAGGAGTCACCAAAATGTAGTATTTTTTAAATTACTGAGGAGAAGTAAGCACTTTTTAAAAAATTTTTCTGTTCCCAGAGGTATTAGTACCACGAAAGTATCATCAAACTTTTGCAGGAATTTCCACTACCTCTGAGTAGGTTATCTGACTAAATACAAACACACTTTCCTACCATCTGTTTGAGAGGTGAGTTCTTGTTCTCACTTTCAACATTTTATTAAAGTCAAATCTAAAAGATGAGAAAACTTAAAAAAAAAAAAATCCAAAATACTCATTGAATCATAGGGTATTCTGGAATTTCTTTCACCAGTTTCACTTTAGGCAGTCTGTACAATGTCATGCGATCTACAGATGACTCCCTCTTTTTTTTTTTCCCCCTCATTCCAGACTCTCATGGAAGAGAAACTACTACTGCCGTCAGCAGCTCAATGGTATTTGATCTAAACTTGGGGGTACTGTGTCCTTTGAGGAGGATAATTGTACTGCAGAAATTACATGCAGATAACAGCTTTACTTCCCTGTAATGATGGGGTTTGTTCTCAGGCTCGCAGGAGTTAAAGGTAGCGGCTGCCTTGTGGTTAACGTGGGAGGGGGAAGGAAACCTCAGCACCCCACCTGCAAGCTGAAAGCCATAGGAATGTGTTACCTTGGAAGAACTCCGATCTCCTGCTTACAGAAGGTAAGCTCCTGTTCAGCCCCAAGATCCTATCCAAATGGAAGGCAAACACCTCGCTCATGTCGAGGGGTCTTTTGATGATGCCACAGTGCCCCTGGTCACAAGCAGTTCCTGTGGTGCTGGGACCCCTTGCAAATACTGCCAGGATTGCTTTGTGAGAAGGTACTTCTTGGATGCTCTCTATTGGAGAATCTGCCAGCATGCGCATGTTTAGGATGTCATCTTTGCTCAGCCAGGAGGGAGAGCTCTCACTGTAAATCCTGATATTGCTTTCCTCAGGCTGGGGCTGTGCCTTTATAGCTCCAGAAATCCCCCCAGGTCTCTGGTGACCCCTCTCCCTGATTGCTATTCCTTTATACCTGCGTTCATCCAGTTGGTGCTTTTTTGCCTCCAGAGCTATTGCTGCTCCCATTGCACCCACAGCACGTGTGGCCCTCCCCATCTGCTGGGCAAAGGCCTCTTCCCGACCTATAAAAGCAGCTTTTGGAAAGTATTGCCCATAGGACAAAGGGGTTGCATGTTTCTTCCTGCGCTTTGGCTTCACTGTGCCTCTGATATTGGCAGGCTTGCTGCGCTTGGACCGCAGGGTGATATAGACTACATTGGGTGGCAGCAAGGTCCCATTGCTACCAAGCTGGGGTTCCTGGAAGTTGGGTGGTGACAGGGTGCCATCCAGTGGGATGCCCAGAAAAGGAGTTTGGGCTGCATCTCGGAGACTTCTGGAACTGATCTTCTGGTGTCCTCCTTTGTGCTGGGGTAAAACATGACCCACTTGACTGACGAGGAATCCCAGGTAAATCACGCACGCGGTGCCCACTAGCAGATTCCTCCTTGTCCTTGGGCGCCTGCAAGTCCAGAGCCTCAGCACCCGTGGAGGGCACAGGCAGCAAATAAACAAGTTTTTGACTTTGCTTGGCTGATCAAAGGTGGTCATTTCTCTAGTGAATCCACATGATGAAAACAGCATAAAGTCTTCTGTAAGTTCCAGCCAGGATGATGATGCATTATTTCCCTTCCCCAATTTCTATTTCTCCTTTTCCAAATAGCTTCTAGCATGGGTGGTGGACAGAGGCTACTGATGTGCCTGGGAATGTGTTTAGCACTAAGGTTGCTGACACTCCACCTTCTCAAGCTGTTAAATTCTTATCAGCCACCACAGGGGAAGTGATTGGCTTCAGAGAATGAATGGAGCCAGCTACGTAAGCAAAGTTTACTGACTAGTAGTCTAAAATATCTGAAGTATCTCCTTTGCAAACTGCAAAAAGAAAAGAGCAGCATTTCATTTCATTACTCACATATGGCATCTGTGGTTCTGTATTTTTAAGAGACAGGCATTCTAGATGAGACAGTATGCATCTAGAAATTCATCAGGATACATCTTTCACTTTCTCATTACCGTTTAGATTAAACACCAAAATCATGAACTACAGGCTCAATCTGCAATCTCAGCTAGCTGTATTCCAGCACTGGAAGAAAAGCTTGTCAGACCCAGATCATTATCTTTTTCTTATGACAAATTCTTCACTAAACCTCATGTTATGGAAGTGCTGTAAATTATACAACATTAAGCACCAGTAAGTGTAGCAGTTAAATATGCACATATTCACTAGCAGAAAAATATATAAGCAGTGCCAAATTTCCCTAGTTGAATATGAATACAGTTCACATAAACACACATTAAAGATGAAAGATGGTTAATTCTCTTCACCCTTGTGAAGCCATAAATAGGATCTAGCTATAGTTTTTCAAATTAAAATGACAGTGGCTTTATCCTTTCAAAGAAATAAAGATAGAATAAGTGCACGCTGTATATATATTGCTATAAAAATATAAAATCTTACCTATTCAGCTTGACACATCTTTCTTCCTAGTAAACTCCGTAGGTTAGTGAAAGTAACTTAGTAAAAGCTGACGTTCTCAAAGTATTCTAGCACATATTTCAGTTTTAAGTATGGTTCATATTTAGGTATTTCATTGCAAGCTATATACCGTTTGGAAGCTAACTGTACTGAGAGGTGGTTTGCATATGAGCTGCTATAAACTTACATGAACCTCACATTATTTAAAAAAAAAAAGCAACTTCTATTTTAAATTCTGTAATGAAAAGTCCTGTGAAGTATGTGTCTTCCAAAAGTGCATTCCATCCATTTCTGACTCCTGAGGGCCCTCTAGTGCACTGCATGCAAATATACTGAAGAAATTCCCATTTTCTGCATTTGGGTGTTTTTTTAAATCTAAAATACACCCTTCCCCCCCACCCCCTGAATTTTAGAACTTTGAGGAATTCTATGTTTTTGTGATGAGAAATGAAAAGCAGATAGTGGCTTTTAAAATGCTATTAACATGCTATTAAACAGCTCAGGAGTGTTTCCTATTTGTGCTTTCCAAAATGAGGTAGAGCATAGTCACTTTACAGATGGAAAAGTTGAGGCAGAGGGAAGTTATGGGCTTGTGCGCAGAGTTAAGCAGTGAGACACTGGCAAAGCTCTGACTCCTTGCCTAGTCAAAGTACAAAATAATAAAATGTAGATATTTGCTGTAATTCAAGCTAATGGAGATATTGTCTTGTCCATGATTTTTACTAAGGGGAATAGACAGTTAAGGAATTGATTTTTGTTTCAAATGGGTCTGATCTGAATTTAGAAAACTTTCGAGTGGATTTTGCCACTGGCCATCCCTTTTTCTTTACTTTTTGTCTAAATATGTACTATTGAGTTAAGATTTCAGCATCCCTGCCCATTACCAGGAAAAGAGCCTTCATGCCACCCACTTTTTCCAAATCTGAGTTCTTGGAGGAATAGGGATTATAAGAAATCTCTCTGGCCACTCAAGTTCTTATCTATCTCTCTCTCTTTTTTTTTTAAAGTTCAAATTAGACTGAAGGGACACATCCCAAAAGAGAGTAATTCAAAAAGCTCCAGAAGAATGTATCATTAAAGTCAGTAAAGATGTGGCTACTGCCGCTTAACATTTTTTTTGTACTTTAAAGAAGTTGCCGAAGACGGACGTTATTAGATCAGCCTGAGATGCCTGAGGGGCCCTCTGAAAGATGAAGGGTCATTAGCGTGAGGAGCCAGCTTGGCAGCCCATTTGACCAACAGACACCGCACATGGCTCTCAGTGAGAAGATCCTTCTATGTCCTATTTAATACCACTGCAAAATATCAGCGAAGTTATGTGGCTAAAACCAGGGTAAATAAGGGTAACTGGGTATGGCAGCCTGAGAGCAGAATTTTACCTGTAGCATGTGTTTACGCATAAGCATGAAGAAATTTTTTTAAATGTCTAAGATAAGCTCCCCACTTTGAGGATAAATAATGGAAAAAAAAAAAAAAAAACCACCTCCTGGATTCTGTTTTGACTTACCGCTGATTTTGACAGTAAATAATTCGGCATAAAGCTTTTACTCTACTATGTTTCTTCCAAGTGTCTTTAAATTATTTGGAGGAATTTTACTTTTTATTGCTAATGGCATAGGGTTGCTTGAGTTGGAAATGCATCACACTGCAGCAGTTGTTTTTGAATGCCCGGTCCTTGCATGTAGCCAGCACCATGACCCATCCATTCCAATCAAGCAGTACCAAAACACAGTCCACTTCAGTTACTAACAGCTTTCCTTTGCTATGACACTTCTCTTAAATTAAAATTTTGGAACCTATATAATCTTCCTATTGCAGCTCTTTAAAGATTATCTGGAGGAAATTATAAAAGGACAGGGAGAATTGTTCTTGACTCCTCATTTCCTACATAGCCTAGAAATTAAAATGTGGTGTACCTGCTGATGTATAGTATTGACTCCTGAGGGGGGTTTTGATGCTTTCTAAATGTGACAATAGTGATATTTCCTTCCTTTCTCATGTTCAGAAAGGAGAGGTCATTCTTTAAATGTTGCACCGTTACATTCTTTGGAATGGATGGTGGTAGGAGTTCAACGATTCAATATCGTGTTAACTTAGCAGATACTTGCCTCTAATTTTGGATCTTCAAAAGATAATCAAGAGATGTTTTGGTTTTTTTTCAACTCTTGTGGTGTAGAGCTCCAGTGTCCTACTAGATTTCACAAAATAATCAAGGCTGGAATGGCTATGGACTTGTTTGGAAAACAAACATTTCTTTGTGTTTCAGGAAAGAAAAGAAAATGTTTGTTGCTCAGGTGGGTACTATTCTTCTTTCTGGAATGTTACTAACCCAAAGCTGCAGCGGGGTGCTAAAGGGCATTACTCAGCTGAAAGTGTGCTTCCTCTGTGGTCATAAAATATTCAAGACTAATTTTTTGAAAGAATAGACTGAACAACTCTAGTTGTCTGACCAAATTCTAGCCTAGGTTATTGTACTTTGCCTACCTACATTTAGCCTGTAATGTCAGTTAGATTCTGTATTTATTCCTTGCTCTAAACTACATCTGTGGTATTGCCATCTGCATCTGTTAAATTCAACTTCTCATGTCATTTCTTAATATACCCATATTTCACAGCCAGTGTTTTCCATTCCTAAGTCTAGGAACACGGGAATAACAAATCTAATATTGGAGAATAGCAATGAAGAGAAGAGGGGGATTCAAGAAGCATTTTCTAGTCCTTGACATTCCTAGGTATAGTTTGAAAATGCAAATTGCAGATTTGCAATTATTTTCTTTTTTCATTTGTTTAACTTCTGAAATTCATCTCCACTTGTACCTGCATTTGTACGAGAAACTTGTATTTGTGGGAAGGACTGTCACCCAGGGTGCTGCCAATGGTGCTGGACCAGCTACAGGCTCTGGAGGAGCTGGTGGCCAGCGCTGGCGCCAGCCCCCCCTAGA